TCATTCTTTCCAGATCATAGGGATAACTTAAATGAGGCATGCGATATAGCTCACATTATTAGTCATCGCTTGAACTGATCTAGCAATTGAACGAAGAAATAGTACATTTTTATGCATTAAGTCGCATATTAAACGACACCGTCATATTACATGAAATGTCATTACCGAGACCGAATATTCCAAAATTCATACTTCAGATACGGCTTGAATTTACCAAAGCAAATGGTTGAATGAGTAACCAGGCAAGAGGCATGTATTTATATTTTGGTAACTTTTAATCATTATCAGTCGTCTGCAAAATTGTTGTCTATTCACCTCGAAATTTGATATTACGAGGTTAGAATATTGCCGCGTCCACAAAAGAAAAATACTCTAAACTCAAAAATGCAGTGTCAGAAACTACTCGTAGCTTAAATTTAACAAATGTCACATTTCCTCCTCGTCGAGTTTACAACTTTTCGGACGTACCGTCACTCTGAACTTGCTCAATGTTCAACGGTAGTCGTCCAATTTCCAAAAAGCTTTTTGAGTATTTGATAGCGACCAATAATTTCACATAATCTTTTTTGTAAGGTGAAACTAATAAATATTTGTCAAAGTTTTACTGCGATGTACATTAAATTATGATTTCTGTAATTGTTTCCATTTCCCTTGCAAACAGATGTTATGTACAAAGCCGATGTAAGTAATGACATATGGTTTCTTCTGATCTATACCCTAGGGTAATGTAGGATAGAGCAATTGCACTTTTGCATCATTTCGTGTTTGTTCGTAGAAAATGTGCCGGCAAGACTGGTAACTAAAATCAAGCCAAAAAGTTGAAGAACAGGGCCAATATAATTAGGTACATTTAAGAAATAACAAGATAATTGAGGTAGTTTTCAAATGAATAACTGATCTTCACGAAACATTGAGTTTTCTTACGGTACGTTTCAGAATTCGATGAAAGATTCTAACATGCGCGTTTTTTCCGAATATTTCACTGCTTCCTTTAAATATTCCTTGAAACAAATTCATGCTTCTCTTAACTCGTAGCCATAATTAGACTCGGTAAATTAACTTAGCTGTAATATCTTACCAATCGAAGAATGTTTATGGAAATCTACTTCACGAAAAAAACGAAATATGTAACGTGCTGTTATTTGGTCAATTTGTGCACTTTTTCACCTCGATTTCCATGATTGCTTTTCTTTTCGTGTATTTTTGGCAGACCGTCATACAGTGTTTCCAACGTTTCAGATCCTGTGCTACAGTTGGACCTTCGGCTAAAGACAACCAGGGTCTAAAGCGGACTTTTTACATATATTTACACCAGGTTAATCTTTGTAGTTCCCAGGACGCTCTGTCCGAAGGGCTGGGCAAGTAGAATTTGTTTCGTCTTCTTTCTGCAGGTATTCGCAAAATCTGCCGATGCCATCGTACACACAGTAACTTTTGAATCAGAAAAACCAGTCGCTGTACACCAACGCTCTAGCGAATTTCTGTACCCCGGACCACGTCGAGAAGCGCAAGGCCAAAAACTTGTCCCAGAAAGCCCATTTCAACTCCTGTACTAGGAATCGAGAATTTTTTAGTCATTGTTCACACTCGTAGCCATAGGTAATCATGGGGATGAGGATCGACTTGAACACCGAGAGCTTAGTTTTCAGACTGAGCTCTACTTTAGTCACAGTGGGTCGGGCTAATTCACGCAGAACGCCACTGGCTACTCCAATTCGCCGGTCGATCTCTTCCTCCAGTTTTCCATCATTAGTAAATACAGTTCCGAGGTACTTGAACTTCTCCACCTGCTGCACTGCCTTTCTGTCAGTCTGAAAGGAGCAACGGGAAGGAGAAGGAGAAACCATAGGCTTTTCGTTTTAGATGCGTTCACACGCATGCCGGTCACGTCGCACTCGGCTACGAACCTTTCTAAG